CTAAGATATATCATTGGACCCTCACAGGTAACACACAGGAGAGACTCTGAATTGACAAGTTGCATGGGAGAGAAAAGATCTTTGTGTAAAATTTCTTTAAGAAAGGGAAATCTTTAATAGGTAGTAGTTGAGTTCTTGAGGCTAAAGTAGAGGCATATCACAGAACAAGTATGGTCTAGTTCTCCTGAATGCAGAGCTCTGTAGCCACTGGGGAGGAAGAACAGTTGCCTCCCATTAAAACAAATCTGGCAGTGCCCAGGGAGACAGGGCTTAATAGAAATCCTGAGACTGTCATAGAACTTGGCCAGGAGGCCTCACCATCTACAGCAAGGCAGAGGTCCCAGAGGAAGCACTTGAGTGTGTCAGTCACTCATAAATCCATTGATTACCTGCCATGCAATTAGCTTGTTGTAGGTCAAGAATACCATAAGGGGGAGGGACTGTATGTGAAATGTTAAGATAACACTATATGTTATATACATTAAGACATGCCACCAAGCTACTCTATCAAGGACAGTCTTGATGGTGCTAGCACACCGCCTCAAGCATCAGCTTCAGCTGGAGGGAACAGCTGTGCTTACAGTGCTTTCCTTCTCAAAGAAGCCCATATCTAGGGGCTACTAAGTGCTTGTACTGCCCTTGGAGGTGTCGTCTACTTCTGCCTGTTTCTGCTTTGCTGTCTAATCCTTTCCCAAATGTGGATCTCTAATATACACAGCAGCCTGCAGTGAGTCTCATGGGCTCTGAATCTGTGAATTCAACTAACCAGACTTCTAACAAGTCACATCTGTACTGATCATGTACAGCTTTGTCCTTGTCATTATGAACAAAGAAATTTAGTATAGCAAGTACTTACACAGCACTCCCATTGTTCTTGGTATTATGAAGAATCTGGGACAATTTAATATATAGCAGGATGCACATGGTCCCATGTAAACACTAGCCTATGTTCTGTAAGGGATCCATCTGAACATCAGCAGATTTCAACATACCCACAGAGAGGCTGCCACCAATCTCTCCAGGATATCACGAGATGACTGTATATATTCTCTGATTTCCCCTTTGAAATCTGCTGCTAAACAATCTAATTTGTGACACTGTGTTCAGCTAACAACATTTTTCTTGAAGACTGAGTAGAACTGAAAGGCTTGGATTATCTGATAAAGCATGAAAATCAGGGTTCTAACAATTGGGATTGTCATTTGTTAGGGGATAGATGTTAACAACAAACAAAATCTGCAACACACATACACAAGCACACATATACATACACAAAGACATTATATATATATATATATAGACATTATATATATATATATATACACACATATACACACATGCATATACAGATACACACATAGACACACATACACACACAGATGTAGACACATAAACATACAAAGACATAAACACACATATACAGGAAAACACACATACAGATACATACATATATAGACACGTATATACATACATGCATATACAGACACACAGACACACAGAGACACACACATACAAAGACATACACACACACACACACACACACACACACACACACACACACACACACAAAACAAAGATAGCCAGAACTACAGGTGTGGGTGAGGCAAACAGGATGATTATTTGAGCCCAGGAGTAATGGGCAACAGAGCAAACCTCACAATTAAAAAAAAATATGTATTTTAAAAAGTGCTATTACTGTCTATACAAAAATGACCATGTCCACAATATTGGCAGCTGTATTTGCTAGCATGTGTATAAAGTACTGTTTTCATTATGACAATAGAGTTGCTTCTTGAAGTTTCTACCCAGTATATCAAAACAACAGTCTAACAAGATAGTAGATGCCTCATACTGACTTTTATCTTTCCAGAGTTGTATTCTAAGATATTCAGTTACTTTTAATGTTGTCAAACTTTCAACTTTGTTATTCCAGAAATCTTATGTTTCTCCCCACCCAAGGTCCACCCTCCTTATAAGAGCATTTCAATGTCATGGAGGGGCCAGCCTGCCTGAAGCTCTTCATGTTCATGCGGTATACACAAGGGTGTGTCACCCACATAACTGGGAGTCTACCCTGTCTATCACAACTGGTTTAGCAATGTGAACATAATCCAGAGCTGAGCATAACAATTAGCTACTGTATTTCTGCTATACTATTCAGCAAGAATTGTCAATCCAGTGAGATCAGAAAGCTGGCAGAATACAAACCTTGAAGTTCTAAAGCGGTCAATATTCTCCTGAGAATAAGGTCAATTCAGAATACTAATGACAATAGTAATGGGAAGAATTCCTATCACATCTGTTGTGATTTGAAGCCGAACTGTTTTCTAAGGGCTCATGTATTAAAGTACAACTTCCAGCTGACAGGAAGTGGTTGGATTATGAAGAGTCTGACCTCATCAGGGATTAATAACCTGATGCCATTATTGGGAGGTGGAAGAAACTGAGTGTGGCCCAGTTATGGGAAACTGGTCCTTAGAGTGTGCCTTAAAACAGTTTATTTTATCTGCCTGTGTGCCATGAGGTGGACATCTCTGTTCCACCATTGGCTTCCACCACGGTGTTCTGCCTTCCTACATACCTAGAAGCAATGGAGCCAACTGATTATGGGACTGAAAAGTCTGAAACCATGCACCCAAATAAGTCCTTTCTCCTTTGTTTTCTAGAACATTTTCCCCCAGTGGTTTCTTAAACATGTTTTTATAACATAGCAATGTAAAGAAGTTTATACATTGCCTTGGATATACACAGGCAGGGTTTGAAACCAAGTTTATGTTCCTTATCCCTCAGTCTATACATATTTACATACTGCTGATCAGAAAAATAAGAACTCATGGAATGAGCCTATTAAAAAGGGATTTTTGTTTTTACATTTATAGTTCCGTGCATGTGTGTGCGTGCATCTCTCTCTCTCTCTCTCTCTCTCTCTCTCTCTCTATTTCTCTCTCTCCCTCTGTGTGTGTGTGTGTGTGTGTGTGTGTGTGTGTACATGTATGGTGTCAAGTGTGGAGGTAAAAGGACAACTTATGAAAGTCAGTGCTTTCCTTCAGTCATGTAGATTTTGAAGATGGAATTTAGATCTTCAGGCTTTGTAGTAAGCAAAGAGGGCAACTGTGCTCCACCGAGCTTCACCAGCCACCTTTCATAATTATTTCAGCATCTGAACCCAGATGCCGTGAGCAGTATTGCCCTGAATTCTTCACTTTGGTATATCAGTGAGTTATTTTCATTTTATTAAAATCAATCTTCTTTGAAGATCATTTACATGCACACTTGCAGGCATGCAGGCACATTGCACAGTGCATACAGGATGGTCACAGGACATGGTTCTTTTCTTCCATCATCTAGCTTCTGGGGCTCAGATCAGGTCATCAGCATCAGATGCGTTTGCTCACTGGGTCAGCTTGGCCAGCTCTGCAGCCTTATCTAGCAGGAACTCAGAGTCCTAATGACAATTTGTGTCATTCATTTACAAGAGAAAGAAGACAGAACCTAGCTGCTTTAGGAGGCTGAGGAATGTTGAAATAAGAAATGCACATACAATACAATGAATGAAATATATGTAAATATTGTCATTTACATCTAAAAATTGTGTATTATCCTGAATTTTCCATTTGTCACAATAGTCTTATTATAAGAGAAAAGGTGGTAAACTTCAGATAAATCCTTTTCAAGCTGTGAAGCCCCTTGCCTACCTTATAGTAAATTGAAGATGTACTGGCTCAACATTAGGTGAATAGACGTCCTGGGGATAGTACTGTTCCCTGGTCACTGCTGTATCTCCAGCTCCATCAATACCTTAAGTGTTGAGTGAAATATGAACACAGATGACAACAGTCTACCATGTCATATATTCACGTTTCTGGGTTTGTTCCTTAAAAAAAGTCTTTCAGTACTGTCTAATTAAGACTGGAGACTGATCACACAGGTTATTTCTTACATTTCCAGAATTAATATATGACTATTTAACATATGACTTAATTAGATTTTAGCACATTGCAAAGGCACAAAAACTGATACTGTTTAAAAATAAGTACTATTATTTTTGGTGAAGGGATTAAAAACTGTCCCAATATCTTTATTTAAAAAAAGGTTCATTTAGTGAAAACTGCAGACAAAAGAAGGAACTGAATAAAAATTGCTGTATTATTAGTATATAGAAGATCTCCAGTATTTCATAAAATTAGCAATATGCTTGGTGAGAACATGGACTCTGGTCCAGGATATAGACTTAGGAGATAGTGTTCTTCAGATTAGCTGTCCCATAGTCCCCAGACCTCACTCTTGGCAGCTTTAAGCCCTTTTTATATTATGAATATAAGAATTTAACTCTATCTTCATCCAGTAGCTGATCAAACAAAAACAGGCACCCACAGCTAAACGCTGAGCCATACTCCTGGAATCCAGTTGCGGAGAGGGAGGAAGGATGAGCAAAGGAGCCAAGACTGTGCTGGAGAAACTCACAGAAACAGTTGACCTTTCCTAGTGAGAGCAGAGATCCTAGTCATAAAGCTGGGGAACCAGCATTGGGGGAACCAAGCCCTCTGAATGTGCGTTCCAGCTAGGAGGCCAAGACAGTCCATGGGACCTCTAACAGTCTTTATCCCTAAAGGACAAATGGACTTTAAAAGCCCATTCCCTATGGAGGGATACTATTGCAATCCAGATATGGGAAGGAGGGCCTGGGCCTTCCCCAGTGGAGGGCCTCACTATCCCTGGGGAGTGGGTGGGGCGTGGGTTGGTGGGGAGCATAGGAAGATGGGAGGGTGAGGGGATGGGGGAATTGATATGTAAATAAGAGTGCATCTAAAATTAATAAAAACACTAAAAAATTTAACTCTAAAGGGGTCTGACAGTTACAGACTGAACCTCTTAAAAACTGGCTTCAGGGAGAAGCTTAGTTATGAGCAAGACTCTAGAACCTGAGGATTAACAAAACAGAGTCTTATGATGTCAGCTTATGATGTTCTGTCATTTCTGAAAATAAATGCACACTCATCCCAGCGTCTCAAAAATCTTTTATTTTTAGAGCTTGACCTTTTCTATAAAGGATTCTTAGTCATTCTCAGTATTCATCTGACAAAAATTTTCCATTATTCTTGACATTAAAAGATGTAATAGATGATTTTAAAGAGTACCGTGAACATTTGTAAGAGTCTCTCGTATCATTTAGTTTCCAGTGATTAGAATTTAGTTGTGCTTGGAAAAGAAGAGGACAGCGGCTGAGCCACACATGGCTTTTCCCAGCTGCCTCCCCATGATACTGAGGATGACTAATACCAAGGACTGGGACACAATACATCCTCCCTCAGAGGAAACAATGTGCTGTCTAAAGAGCATTCACTTCTGACATTTCAATTCCTGACTTCAGTGGCTGCACACTGTGCACTTCTATGCCACACTTAGGACAGGTAAAGTACATGTCAAATAGGAAGCTACTTTTAACACAGTAATAACAGAAGACGTGTTCACATCCAATGGTGTGAGGCATTGTGGGCCACTCTCCACAGAGAGCACATTCTTTGCCACTGCTGGCTAGGGCACTGTCACTACTAGCAGCACCAGTGAGGGGTATGCACCAGGAAGACAATTTGGCTTTGAATTTCTGGATATTGATGAGTGGTAAGAGAAAAATCAGAAACTCAGCAAAGCCATGCCAGAGAAGCTCCCTATTCATGTAGTCAAAGCCAACTTCACGAATGTTCTGGGGCTTGCAAAATACAGAATGAATGCCAAGGAGGCGTTCTGTCAAAGTTGCAAACTTTCCCTTCTGCAAGAAAATTAAGAAGTTTATCAATTCCCCTAATTTTAAAAGTCCAACCATAACATTCATGCACTGTTTGACTTTCCCGAAAGATGCTAAATGACGGTTTCGAAACAAATCATAACATCGTTCCTCTAACCATCTACCCCCAATGGTGCACACAGCATACCACAGTTTCTGGTTTTTACTTGGTGGTTGGTATCTTGAGTTGGAAGAGAAATCATTTTTGTACTGAATATTCAAGACTGACTGGCCCACAGTGGCATTTTTGGAGTAGATGGTGAACCTCCATAGGAAAAGCCACAGACATGCTTTCACTTCAGGTTCAAATCGAGCTAACAGGCCTGGCTTGAACCCATGAAAGCACTGTGTGAACTGGGACCACACAAGCTGCTCCAGAGCCTTGTTCAGTTCAAGTGCATCCAGCTGACTTATCCTCAGCACTCTGTTTGCACTCTTTGTCTTCTCTCTGCCAGCCATGTCTTCTCTGATGTTGTCTAGGAAAAAGACAATTTGGGAGCGTGAAGCAGGGGCAGTCTTCTATTACTGCCTCAGTGGCCTGCAAACAGAAGACGGCTGTTAACAGTGTAAAAACAGCAAAAGATATCTTCTTAAATGGAACCTCTCTTGCTTTTCTTCTTTCTTTCCTTATGCTTGCTCCTGTCCCCATCCCCAGCCGCTCCCTTACCCCTTCTCAGCAAAGGAATCATAAGTAGCAGGTGAAAGGGAAGAGCAGGCTGAGGGGAGACAACAGTTTACTGATTGCAGAAACATACCTCTACATAGTATTTCCTGCTTGGATAGACTGTCAGACAGATTAAAACCCCGAAACTAACAATGAGGCAGAATACTATGACAAATGGAGAACGATGACTAGCATAGAACATGGCAAGAGATGGGTTAAATCAAGACCTCACTCTTATTCCCAGTCCTTCTATGGGATTCAAGAATGTGTAGTAGTCACTTCATCTTTCTCAAGTATACTTTACTTACATTTCATTACTGAAATACAAATGTGTATTTTGCATACACATAGTTTAAAGTACTTAACAAAAAGCGTGAGTAAAGATACATACTATAATAATTTCATTAGTACACAAGAAAAGAAATAGATGCTATTGGAGAAAAAAAAACAAGTAAATTCTAAAAAGTTAATTAACGTTAGTGCTGGCCCAATAAATGAGCCTCAGAAGTAATTTAAGATTTCAAACCATAGCAAGGAAAACCCAGGTCACTGCAGCAGTTGATATACAGATCAACTGAGATCTGTTACATCTTATAAATGAACCATCAAACTTAAACCAGGACCCAAATTACCTTTAGTTTCTAAGTGGGTCCTTGGCCTTGGCTTGATCTGCTTTCATATAGAATCTAAGCACGTGGAACTCCAGAAGGCTGAGGTACACTTGTGATTGCAATTTAATAGCAAAAATGGGGAAACCTTGTTCGCAAATGCAAGTTCTAAGTTAGAAGATGGGTAGATTCTAGAGACTTTTTATATAGCATGGCTACTGCAGTTAATAAGTCAGCATGCCTGTTTGAAGCTGGCTAAGACTGTGTCTTCAAACTTATACACACACTTGATCAGCTGTAATGGATGACTGTTTAACAGGGGAACTTATCTCACCATGTATACATATATGAGGCCATCATGTTACTTATTTCACATATATAACAATAAGGCTAGGGGAGAAATAAACACAGTAAAATGAATTTTCAGCACACTAAATTTAAACATTATGTGAAGCCTTTGATAGGCCGGCAACAGTAACATACAGAAGCAGGCTCATAAGCAAGGCGTGGACCCTGTGGACATCCATGGAATCTGACACCAGAGTTTTCCCCTCACCCTTCTTCAGCCTTGTTTATCTCATCATGTACAACACAAGGCTATAGAAGAAAATGACCCTTAAGTTCCTTTCAGATTTTATTATCTTATGAAATTTATTTAAAGGTAGATGTTAAATGTGATTCACTTGATAGTAAAAGAACTGAAAAACATCCTAAAATGAATTTGTACTTCTTGAAATTAAGACTATGTCTGACAACACAAGACATTTTCAAGAAGTGAATTTTAATGCTGCTCATGTGTCCTAGATTGAATTAGTGGCTGAGACCTTACGCTTAACAAGTTCAAAGGCAGGAAACATAAATGATCCTTGAATAATACAGGTTGCTTGGTGACGTCTTCCACTAAACCAGACATGAGGAATGCTTCTCCCATTTGAGGGAGCACTCACCTTTTCCCGTTCCTGTGGCCCCTTCAGGATTCAGCAGCTTACCCACAAGGTGGTGGAGAGTTCTGCTGCACATTTGCTTCAAGAAACCCTTGCCTCATACTTACTGGAAGCTACAGTAAAGAAAAAGGAGTTAAAATGAGAGAGAAGAGATCCCTTTCCTCACTCTGCTAATCTAATCTGTTGCCAATGACTGTCAGCTCTTCGTCCAAAATATTTTTTTTTCTCATGCATTCATCACACTCTAACTGCTAAAACTGCTTTCCTAAAGAAGTCTGGCTGTTCTCCCATCCGCTGAGACTCATTCTAGCTGCTCTCTCTCTCTTCTGGCCCATCTGATACTGTCCACCCCATAATCACTCTGGAACACAAGTCTCTCCAAATCTGTGCTCCAGTTCCTTCTTAAAGCACCCCTGCCACTTTATAATTTTTTTTTTTTTTTTTTTTGCATGGAGCATGTGTCCCCTATTCTTCAACTGAAATACTAAGTACTGGCTGGCTCAAGTACCACTTCCTCCTGGCTCTAAAATGTGGCCTCACTGCCCCTTTGGGGTTCCGTTAGCTTCCCATCTTCCTTTTTTGGCCTTTATACTTCGGACATAATGTACTTTTTAATCGTCTATTTCCTCTACTACATGATAAGCACTCATGCTATGACTATTTGAGTATTATCAGAGTTGAATCAGGGCAACAATTCTAATTCCTGGTATACACAGACATTTTATAATTACTTGATGAATGGATAAAAGAGTAGAATGAAAGTTTACAGTAGAAAACACACATGTTCTCCACTAGTCTTTAAAATTATTTCCAACCACCATAACAACACTGGTTCTTATTCACTTAACCATGCTTGTGGTCCATCTGCTCTTTACCAGCTGTGTAATAGAATGAAAGACAGTTGTGAGCATGGCAGAGCCTACAATTTACCTAGGTTAAAAGAGGGGGACTGTAAGAGCATGTTATATAAAACAAACAGGCAAAACCAGTGAGATGGGTAATTGATTTTCAAGAGGAAATACAGGCACTATGCCTCCAACCGCATTTCTGGAGACAGGTTCCTGGCAAGGAGCTAGCTAAACAGGACCTGGGAAGGAGCTGCAGGGTCAGTATGTTTACAAACTAAAAACAATTAAATAGAGGCGATATGCAGAGCCAGAAGCACAAGGACAAGTAGAAGGCTGCAAAGTAAATCGAGACAGATCCTACAGGCTGTATGTAGGTTAGAAGCTAAGATGAGGAGGCGGTTTTTCACCAGGAAGGTAACAGCATTCAGTGAGCACTCCTAAGCAAATGCTAATCAGATCTTCTCTGTAGATACTTGCTCTAGCCACTCTTCAGATTAGATTTTTGCTGGCTGTGAGAAGGCCTGGAAGCACACTGACCATTTAACAGTCTGTTAGGTAGATCTAGTGAGAAGCTAATGGTGGTGTAAATTATAAATCTATCAATGGTGACAAAGGGAAAAAATAATATTGAAGTTTAAAGTGAGGCAGGAGAGCTGAAGCTGACACTATCTGACAAGAATTAAATCAAAATAACTGACTGTAGTACATGACTGAATAGAGAACCAGTGTTCTAACACGGGAAATACATGAATATATGCATACAATTTTTCAAATAAGAGGTTTTGATAGGATGTCTTGGTGTCTATCCTGTAAACATGAGAGCGAAAGTTTGGGTGCAGATTTTACAAGTCCAGGCATTTTTAATAAAATTTACTTTACCCAGTTAAATATTAAATGAGGAAGGCAAACTTCTGGTGGTCCATATTTCCTCACAATGAATTCAGTTTTTTCTATAACAATCTGATAAAAATATAATTATGTGTAAGAACGATACATGTATCTCTTTGTATTCTACACACTCCATCCCTTCACTGTGCCTCTAGTTATAGTGGTTTTCAAATTTGAGAGCTTATCAGAATCACTCACAGGATCTGTTAGATTGCTGAGCATTACTCTTCAGAATTCCCATTTATAAGATATGTAATGGGACTTCAAGAGTTCACGTTTCTCCTAAGTGCTCTAGTGATTTTGAGAACTTCTGGGTTAGTCGGTTTCAAAGCAAAATTCATCTTTTCTCCCATTTCTGTCACCTGTATGCTTCAATACTGCATACTCTTCCTGTCATTCATTTCTAGCCAGTTTTCATCACTTCATCTATAGAAGGTGGTATAAACTTCACTGACTCAGCACATCTCTTTCTATTAAGTAGCTCTTGTGAAATTCAAGGCGATTGTTGATGCCACAAAAATCCTGATCATTACTGGATCTTGGAATTCAGAGAAAAAGAAATGTTCTGGCTCTCACATAAGGATATAATACAAGGCCTAAAAAAGGAGGCAAGGAAGAAAAAATAACTAGGTGATATTTTTCTTGATGTAACAATATTATGTATTAAAAGAACAAAAAAATTAGAACACTATTCAGTTAGCTAACACAAACCTACATGATTACTTGCCCAACTCAAGTCATCTACATGAGCCCCACATACCTGGTCTTCAGTGACAAATTAGACAGATAGCATTCCTAGCCAAGCAGATGTGATGTGAGGCTTGCTTTACTACATCAGTGGTGCTTATTTACAGATCTCTAAATACTGGGATTATGAAACTTTCAGGTTGGAGTACATAAATATCTTAATCACACAGTTCTGGAAGTCACCACAAAGACTGACTGCTTGTAGGAGATGCTCATGAATGAATAATTGTGAAGTTCTATGAGATGGGGGTGTGTGGCAAGTCAATGCACTAGGCGAACAGCATGTGAACATACCTAGCTGGATAGTGAGGTAAGATACCTCTGTCTCCAGTTCTTAACTGATCAGTGAACATTTCTCAGACACACAATCTCTTACAAAATCCTTCCTTCTAGATAAATCATACTTGAGACCACATAGTAAAGAGGAAGTTTTACTGATTGCCAGGAAAGGAGACTTAGGACTTAGCACAGTCTAACAGAGCCAATATTTAACAATACTATAAAAAATTCTTTCTTATTCCTTCTGTTACAGTTTAACATTTTTTTCTTTGCTTTTCTTCCTCCCTAGGCCTGGCCCTGGTGTAGATTAGGAACAGCTGGCTCACTCTCCTCCCTCAGTAAGGCTCTTTAGTAGACCAAAGACTTACTATTAAACCGCTCTTCAGTCTTTGCTGCCCCAGATGGATAATTTGTTTCTCCGAGATTTGTTTTAGGGTTGATTTCCAAGATCTTAATAGTTTTGTGACTTGTTTTAGTCATAAACCTAGAACAAATACTGTCCATTACACACCACAGTTTGTCAGCATGGAAAGCCTCACCTATATTCTACAGCCCCTTTTAGACAACTGTGACAACTGAGAAAAGCAATGCTACACTTAAACTTTCCTGGGCTCAAGTTCTAGCTCTGTCTCCTACTTGCTAGGTGATCAAAAAATTCATTAGCCTCAGATTTTTCTTCTAAAAAGAAATAACACTTACTTCAATAGGTTGCTGAGATTAAACTAGATAATGCTACAAAAGTGGCTTGGAAAGTATAAAGACGTCTTATTACCACATCGTTATTACCTTGACTAAGGATGGGCATAAAAGAAAAAGACTACAAGTCTTTTTTGGCAAATCTAGTTTGAAAAGACTGCAATCTTCATTATTACTCACAATAATGCCTTAACCTGTGTCAAAAGAATTTGTTTCCAGGAAATATTGACTATGTCATTAAAATGTAATTGTGGCAGAGAAATTGTAAACATGATATCACCATTATATGTGCTTATGTGAGAGCCAGGCAAGAAGACCCACATAAGGCTTTTCCACATATAGTTTGTATCTTGTCTGAAAGATTACTCTTTTTTTGTTTTTTTTTTTTTTGTTTTTTTGTTTTTTTTTTTTTTGTTTTTTTGTTTTTTTTGTTTTTGTTTTTGTTTTTCGAGACAGGATTTCTCTGTGTAGCTTTGGAGCCTATCCTGGCACTTGCTCTGGAGACCAGGCTGGCTTCGAACTCTCGGAGATCCGCTTGCCTCTGCCTCCTGAGTGCTGGGTTAAAGGTGTGCACCACCAACGCCCGGCTACACTCAGCAATTTAACCCCATTAATGTGGTTGGACCTGCAACTAGGAAATGAAGAAACCTCAGGAACATATGGATCCTATCTTCTTCTGGGGTACTTTGCTCCATAGGGCAGGGCACAGGCAGTCCAAGTACTCAAACACTGGTTTATCAACAAAAATACTATGTTCGGTTCTTCCTCTCCCACATCTTGACTCCATCCCCATTCTGCCAGGCACAGATCTTTCAGAATACTAGCTTTAGAGAAGGGCAGTGCCCAGGAGAGGAAACTGATGAAATAAATATAATTGGAAGTTCAATTAATCTGATTATAGAATCCTCTTCCTTCCACTGCAGCATAATAAGATTTGTCCCGTAATAGGCGTGAAGTACAGAAAAATGCCATAAATGCCTTTAAATCACATAAAATCATTCTCAACATAATGGAAGTAGTCTGTGTTTTAGTGACTTCTAATTCTCTGACAAATACTTATTCAATTTAACTAATATTCATTGGGCATATAAATACCAGGCAATCTCCTAGGTAGCAGGGATTTGATATATTTATTATCAGTGAACTGCCCCTCCCCTTCCCCCAACACACATTTTTAGCTTTAGTAAAATCAGAACTGGCCATGGATCTCTGAATCAACAACTGGATCTCAAAATGTGAAAATACTGAAAAGGGCCACAAGACTCCTCAGAGGAAAAGATAAGCATCTTTCTTCTTTAGGAGAAAGGAACAGGCTGGGTAAAAGGCCTGAGATGTGAACTGGCTATGGTCTCACTGGGACTCCTGGAGATCGATTTCAGCAGGAGCTGCTGGAATGTAGCCTTGGTTAGTTAATCAGGGTGTTTCTTATGTCACCTGGCTGCAAAGAGGTAAGTCATCTGACTGATGAAAGTAGAGAGGCCTTTCAAGAGGGATGGACCGAGAGCCATGCCACAGTGGACAAAGCACCTGGGCTGTTAGGGATGCTGCACGAGGAGAGACATAATAGGGTATACATTTTTAGAAGGTGAGCCTGATCACAGAATTCACTGAGTGAGAAGAAAACTGCTGTTCAAGAGAATGGTTATAGGATTTCTAC